ACCTTTATTCCCAGCACTCAGGAGGCAGAGGGAGACAGAGCTCTGTGAGTTCAAGGCCAGCCTGGACTACATAGTGAGTTCCAGGACAGCTGGGGCTACAGGGAGACCCTGTCTCAAAAAGACCAAAAAAAAAAAAAAATGTGTGTATTGTCTGCATGTATGAAAGTGCATCTCTGTGCAATGCCCACAGAGGTCAGAAGAGAATGTCTGATTTCCCTGAAACTGGGGTTAGGAATGTTTGTTAGCCTCCGTGTAAGCGCTGGAATTCCAATCTGGATCCTCTGGAAGAGCAGCCAGTGGTCCTAACCAATGAGCCATCTTTCCAGCCAACCCCCGCAAGTTACCTCTTTGTTAAAAATATTTTATTTATTATTTTTATGTGTATGAGTGTATTGTGTGCACGTATGTGAGTACATCTGTGTCGTGCAATGCCGCGGAGGTCAGAAGAGGACTTTGGATTCCCCTGGAACTGGAGTTAAGGCTGGTTTAAAGCCACCCTGTGGGTACTGGGAATCAAACCCGGGTCCTCTGCAAGAGCAGTCAGTGCTCTTAACTGCTGACCCATCTCTCCAGCCCCTCAAGTTACCTCTTCAAAAATAAATTTTTCTTTTTAATTTTCATTAACACATATTTGTATTTATTTAATGAACATATCCCTTTAAATATGTACATTGTGTAATGATCAGTTCTGGAAAATTAACTTATTTTCATCACCATAAACATCATTAGTCATTAAGGAAACACAAATGAGATACCACCAATGAAATCAGGATGCCAATGAAAGATCTGTACTTCCATATTATTACAGTACCATTCACAAAAGCCAAGATAGAGATTTTCTATTGCATTCTAATTATAATTTAAAAATAATGGTAGAATCTGACAAACTGAACATCTTCAGAAATGAGATATTAAAAACAGGTTACTGTTTTGTTGCCAAATATTATATTGTCAAACAGGTTTTTTTGTTTGTCTGTTTTGGTTTTTTGAGATAGGGTCCCACTATGTAGCCATGGCAGACTTGGAATTCACTGTGTTGACCTGGTTGGCCTTGGCCTTGAACTTGTAGCAGTCCTCCTGCCTCTGCCTCTTGAGTGCTGGGATTACAAGCATGTATCACCATGCCCTGTTTGATAAAATTGATTTAAAAAAATGGTTAGGTGTTGGGCATGGTGGCGCATGCCTTTAATCCCAGCACTTGGTAGGCAGAGGCAGGCAGATCTCTGTGAGTTTGAGGCCAGCCTGGTCTATATTGGGAGTTCCAGGCCAGCTAGGGCTACAGGGAGACCCTGTCTCAAGAAGACCCATAAAATAAAATAAAATGGTTAGGGAGACCAGTACTCTGGAGGCAGTGGCAGAAGGATAGATGGTTAGTTTAAGGGCAGCCTGGCCTACATAGTGAGATCTCTCAAACCAACCAACCAACCAACCAACCAACTCTCCAAATAAAAAACAAACAGCTAGGAGTGTAGCTCATTAGCAGAGGACTTGTTTAACATTCTTGAGGCCCTGTATTCAAACTGAATTTCTGGGTGTGGTTCTCAGCATCATGGAAAAAAAAAAGGAGACAAATTATTCCTTTACTTTTGTAAAGTACTTTTGTAGTATGTTAATCCACTTGATACAGTATAGAAAATATATCTATGACTAGAGATTATTTAACTGTAACCTGAATTCAACTGAGCTTTTTATAATAACATTCACAGTTCTTCTAAATGTTATAATCATCCTTTTTCCTGTCTCCAATGGATTGTGAAACCTAAAACTTAGACATTAGAGCTGGAGAGATAACTCGATGGTTAAGAACACTTGCTGTTCTTTCAGAGGACCCAGATTCAGTTCCTAGCACTTGCTTGGCAGTTCCCAACCACTTGTAACTCCAATCCCAGGTCATTTGACACCTTCTTTTGGCCTCCATGGGCATTGGGCATGCATGTGGTATACATACATACACACATGCAGGCAAAACACTTATATGCATTAAAGAAAAAAATGAATAAATTAGAAATGAAAACTTAGACACCAACAATGAAGGTGAACCAGTCCTAATATTAAGCAGCCCATGTTGATAGATAGTATCAGATGCCTGAGGTGAAATTGCTAGTACTTTAGTCTGTCCTTCCAGACATTGTTGTGATTGTGTCATCTTTCATTTCTGGTTTCCTTTCATCTGACTTCCTGTTTATGTGCCAGTTTCCCCTGCAAAGACTGTGAAGTAAACAGCTATAGGAACTATACATGCCTGACTGTATCTCCAGTGCCAAATAACATGGGAGAACATAACACATCTTCCATGTATGTTGGCTTACTGTAAGTGAAAAGCTAGAAATCTACCTAGAGGTATTTGAAGAAACTTAAGTCTGTGAGGGCACACAGTCATATATGATTTGCATTTTTAAGTATTTATTCCATTTTCTTCAACATTTGGTAGTATTTCTCTTTGGAGTGGGGTTACCTGTCAAGAAATGCTGTTAATAAGGTGCTATGTTGGGAGGTTCACTAGCCTGGCCTTCTGAAGTGACCTGTTTGGCTTTGCCTACAAAGCCAAAGATGACTATTATTGTCTAAGCTTAAGACGTGCAAATAAAAATAATTATAATAAATAAAATAGTTGGGAATGAACAGACTTCTTCCAGATTAAGACCATTTTAACACCTTTGACAAAGAGTGCTGTGGGAGGGTTGTTTTTATGGAGGGAAATAGAACCCAGATGGAAAATCGGGTAGCCTGTAGGTCTTTTTGATCTAGAGGGGCTTTTCACTCATTCACACTTTCTGGTGATAAGATGAAAGTGCTGTTCAGTTCTGCCTAAATGATGATTTGTATTTTCATCACACCTTTCCCCCCACCCCCTCTCAAGAGATAAAGGCATTTTATATTCAGTAACAGGACCCAAGATAAACTGCAAATGACATAGTGTGTTTACTATGCTAAAAACAATAACCTCTTGAGGGTAACATGTATTGAACGGTGTAATTGACTCTGGACCTGCACTGGTAAACACATAATCCCAGTACCTGTACCGAGAAAGGGATTGAAACAGTGCAAAACTATAACAGCATTCTGCCTGTAATTTGCTTTTTGGACTGCTGGCAGTAAAGGGCTAAGGTGGCCCACCAAAGAAAATAAAATGCCCTAAACTGAAAATACTAAGTTCTTTTTACACCGCAACCAATAATATTTTTAGTTTACACTTATGTTTTCATTCTGTAACTGACACAAACTGCCAAATATAATTGTATCGCGAGACGGGAGAATTAAAAATAGGATGGGGTTAACGCAGAGCGTCATAGGTTTTAAAATTCACCTCCCGTCATGCACCTCACGCACGCTCCAAGTTTTAAAAGAACCCCCTGAAGACGTCAGAAAACATTTCTTTCGGTCCCTAAACCTTACCTGGCTTCTCAGGAACCACCTAGACCTGCCTGCCCTAGGCTTTGCTATTGGTCAGCTCTGGGCAAGCCCAGAGCAGCCAACAGCGGTCTCTCTCCCTCTACTCTTTCTTAAGTATGTAGCTTTGATGTCACAAATGTTCAGCTCTACTCTATGCTCAAGTGAATAAAGTAGAAGTTTTAAAAAATACAGCAAGGACCAGAAAGGAAATAAGCCGCCCGGCCCCCGCGCGCACGCGCACCTCGCTGAAGTGTGAGGGGCTGGGACAAGGGGGCCCGTCGTGGCCCCGCCCCCGGCCGGAGCCCCGCCTCCTTCCCTCGCCCCACCTTCTCAGCGCAGGGGGGTGACTGCCTCCCGCCAGCCCCTCCACGTCAATCAATTCTCCTTCTCCTCCTCCTCGCACTCTCTGCACCTTGTTATTAGTCTCAAAACCGATATCGCCGGACTCCTCTCCCCCAGCCCTCGAGGGTGTGAGCGTGTGTGAGCGAGAGCTAAGGCACCGAAAACAAGCGTCTCCGCTCGGCCTCGGCCCCGGCGGCACCCGGCTCAGCAGCAATCCCCGCAGCGTCGGCAGTCCCAGCGCGCGGAGGCCAAGGCCAAGGCCGGGCTCCCGGAGCTGTAGCCGCGTCTCCGGCGGCCCCGGGCTCTCTCCTGCACGCCCAGGGTCACCGCCGTCGTAGTCCGGAGTGCGTCCCGCGCCCCCCGCCCTACCCCCCGCCCCGCCCGGTCTCCGCTCCCTTCAGCCGTCCGCCACCGCCTCTGTGGTTCTTCAGGCGGCCCGGCCCGGCCCGGCCCGCCCGCCCCGCG